GTTGTAACTATCAGTGGAATGAAAAGCATATGAACAAAGTCATGACAAAACATAAAGAAACTAAAAATGATGGACTAAAGAACTCCAACTCTCTTCTAATATAAAAGGAAGCCAAAGAGCTATACACTGAAATTGTAAAACACTGCTGAAAGAAAGCAAACAAGATAGACATAAATGGAAACACATTACATGTTCGTGGATTGTAAAACAATATTGTTAAGGTGTGCAAACTACCTAAAGCAATCCACAGATTCAATACAATCTTCATCTAAATCTTCCCAGTTTTTCTCAAAAAAATAGAAAAATCAGTCTTAAAGTTCATATGATACCTTCAGAGACCCTGCAGAGCCAAACCAACCTTGAGAAAGAACAAGCCACATTTTGTGGTTTAAAAACTTACCACAAAGCTATACTAACTGCATGTGATACTGGAATAAAGATCAACAGATGGACCAATAGAACACAACAGACAGCCCAGAAATGAACCCTTACATATATGTCCAATGGATTTATTTTTCAAATTAATTTATTTTTTGTGATGGTGGTGGGGAATCAGTTCCTGTTCCGTGATTTTTAGCAAGAGTGTTAGGACACTATTCAATGGGAAAAGGATAAGCTTGCAACAAATAATACTGAAATATACATATGCAAATGAATGGAGTTGACTCTGTTATAGTTTGTGTCTAGATGCCCCTTCAAAGCCTCAATTCAGAAGTGGCTGAATGTAGAGTGCATGGTGCTAGGATTAAAGGTGTGTGACTGGTAAATCAGTCCATTGATTGTTTTGACATAGCTTAGGCTATGCTCAGATTAAGGGTGTGAGTACTACACCCACTCTAGGGCTGGTAACCTACATACAGTATAAAGATCAAAAAGAGTCTTGTCTCCCCTTCCTGTGGCTTTTGCTGTCTTTCACTACTATGAACTGTTGTCCCTCTGCCATGTGCCACCCTGCCTTGGATCCAGCCAATTATGGACTAAAACTTTTACAAAATGTGAGCTAAGTAAAACTTTTCCCCCTGAACTTTGGGTGTTGTATATTTTGTCTCAGGAACAAGAATAGTAACTAAGGCAACATATCTTACCATATATTATATCCATAATTAACTCAAAGTGGTTTAAGTACCTAAATGTAAGATATTTAAGTTACAACTATAAAACTCAGCTTCCTGGCATTGGATTTAACAGTGACTTCCCTCATTTGACACCAAAAAGATAGGCAAGAAGGTAAATAAATTGGAATTTGTCAAAATTTTTACATTTTGTATATCAAGGACACTATCAGCAGAGTAAAAAGGGAACCCACTGAACAGGAGAGAATATTTTAAACCATACATCTGGTAAAAGGATAATATTCAGAATATATTTTTTAAATGCTTCTACAACTAAACAAAAATCAAACAACCCAATTAAAACATGAGCAAAGGAGTAGAATAGACATTTCTCTAAGAAAAATATACAAATGGCTAACAAACACATGAAGACATTTTCTGTATCACTAATCGTTAGGGAAATACAAATAAAAACCACAAGGATATACCACTTAATTTCATGGGCATGGTTGAGATACATATAAAAGACAAAAGTGAGTGTTGGTGAGTATGTGTGGAGAGTGGACCCTCTGTGTGTAGCTGCTGTGAGTTGTTGCTTTTTGAGGAGAAGGAAGAATAAGGGGAAGGAAGACTACTAGGGAAAGGGGAGGAGGAAAGAAGAAAGAAAAGGAAGAAAAGGAAGAAGGGAGAGGAGGGAGGAGGGGAAGGAGAAAGAGGGGAGGGGAAGGAGGAAGCAGAAGAGAGAAAGGGGAGGAGAGAAAAGTGGGGGAGAAAAAGAGGGGGTGAGGAGGACAGGAAAAAAAAATTAAGTGGAATTATAACATTCATAAAAAAAAAAGTATCTCAAAATATTTCACATAAAGAATGACCATATCATACAGCAATTCCACTTCTAGGTATATACCCAGAACTGAAAGCAGAGTTTTAGTCTTTTTTTTTTTTTTTTTTGGTACTGGGGATTGAACTCAGGACCTTTCACTTGCCAGGCAGATGCTTATGCCACTGAGCTATATCCCCAGCCCAAAAGCAGACTTTTAAAGAGATATTTGTACACCCTTGTTCATAATAATATTATTCACAAGAGCCAAGAGATGGAAAAAATACGTGTCTATCCAGTGATGAATGAATAAACAAGACACAGTATTTGCATACAATGAAATATTATTTGCCCTTGAAAAGTAATGGAATTCTGATACAACAATGAAGATGAGTATTAAAGATGCTATGCCACTATGCTGAGTGAAATAAGTCAGACACAGAAGGACAAATAGAGTGCACTGCATTCATATGAGCACCTAGAGAAGTCAGATTTGTGGAGACAGAAAGTAGAATGGTGGTTGCCAGATGCTGAGGGAAGAGGGTATAGAGTTGCAGTCTGAGAAGAAGCGTTCTGGCAACAGGGGAACATGATGGCATCTGCTGTAATTACAGCTACTGATAAGCTGCAGTGAGAAGACTGCTTGAGCTCAGGAGTCAGAGAGCAGCCTAGGCCACATAGCAAGACCCCATCTCCAAAACTGCAAGTTCTGGAGGTGGGCAGTAGTGAGGACTGCACAACAGTGTCAGCGTACACGAGCCATTGGAGTGTGTGCTTAAAATGGCCCAGATGTTAACTTGTGTTCTGCATATTTTACCACAGTCCTTTAAAAACTGAAAGAAATCATATGCTCATCCCAGTATGATTAGAGATGTAAGTGATAAGACTGAGAATACTGTAAGGAAGCTGGAAGGAGTAGACAGGGTGGGGAGCACAAGAAACCTAATCACAGCTCAGAGGTGGGGCATGGAAGGTTGCAGAAGTGGAAGTGACCACAGGCAGGGCCAGGGCACAGATGAGAGCTGGTATAAGGACAAAGGCAGCGCTTAAGGAAAATTACTTTGAGGGGAATCAGGGGCACTTTGGAAGGCTGGGATGTGGGGCTTTGTTGCCTTGCCATTTGGGCTGCTTCTGAGGACACCCATGTTGGCCACAGTCTCCTAGCATTACTGTCTCCCACCTGACAGCTCACAAAGATGAGCATCCTGAACAAGGAAAGCCAAGCCGAGCACAGGAGCACAGGGATGAGGCCCATGCCTGTCCTCTGCTTACCCATCTGCGTTCTTCTCCTGGTGAGTCACAGCTCTCACCTTGCATGCCTGCCTCTGGCTCCAAGTTGTTTCCAGCAGAGTGCAGGAGGTAGTCTGTGCAGGACCTGGCTGTGGGGCTGGGAGACCTTCAGAGAGGAGTATGGAGCTGCAAGCAGAAGCTGAGCACTGGGTAGGCCGTGTGTGTGTGTGGAGCACAGCAAACACTCTCCAGATGCACAGGTGCCACCGGAACAGGCTCACCTGCCCACCTCACAGATGAGAAGTCAGGCCACCCAGAGGCAATGTGGCCTGCTAGTAGGTTACCTGCTGAGCCAGCACTCTGCCAGGACTCATTCCAGCTGGCACCAAAGCCAGGCCAGCATTCACTGCCCCAGACAGCTTTCTGTATTGCACCCTTAGGCTGAATGCTCACAGTCCAACCGCTTCTAAGGACTGATCTACCCTACACCTTTCCATTCCTCTTGCATTTTTCTGCCCAGGACAGGAATACAGCCCTCAGCTTTGTCATAAGGCAGAAGCACAAACCATTCATCCTACCTTGACCAGCTCGCATTCCCCTCTCCAGGACCTAAAATCATGACTCCAAAACCTGGACCGGTACTATTCTTCCCCTCACCCTCACTTTCCTTTCACCTGTGGCTTCTGCATTTTCCCCATAAACAGCCCTGTCCCAGATCACCCTGGAACCTTCCTCTCTCCTCCCCTATCAAGTGAAAGCTCACTTTCTCTGGGAGTCCACTTGGTACTTTGTGGGGACTTTGGAAAGACTTATCCCATTGTATGATGGGCTTGCTGTACACATTCTTCCCTCTCCCAGTTGCAAGCTTCCTCAAGGCAGAGCCTGCATCTGACTCCTGCTTGCACTGTAGACCTACTGTGGAATGGACTACATCAGTGATGGCCCACCTAACTGGAATGCTGGTCCTGAGAACTCTCATTGCTGCTGCTTCTCAACCCATAGTGGCAGCTGTGGCGAAGGACATTCTTTAGTTCGCCTTTCAAAGTATTACCTCAGGCCTGACCAAGCCATGTGATTGATTCTGGAGGAAGTCTAACAAAAGCATTGGTGTAAAGGAAATGATTGCAGGATGCTTTGCTGAGATATGTCCAAACTGAAGGAATGATAACATGATGGCTATGTAAGTCAAGTCTCATTCTTATGATAATTGAGTTGTATTGTCCTTGCTAAACCTGTTGATATCCTCCCATTTGCCCTGCTGCCTCCTTTGTTCTTTCTCAATAAAAGGTTACTGAAAATGGTAATCAGGGCTGGAGTCTGAGAGGGTGCAAGCCCCCTGATCCCAGAAATGTGCCTCTCTTCTTTTTCTTTTTTCTCTTGCTTTTCTTTTCATCCACGGCACCTCCTTCTCTGGACCTGTCCACCTGGACAGAAACGGAATATAGACGAACAGGCAGTGATGGGAGAAGGAAAGTGAACCCCTTTAGGCAGGCCTGAGGACCTCACTCTGTCCATGGCCCTGTGAGGGGCCTCCTCTCTGGTTCTGGGCATTCAGTAGTTGTGCATCCATCAGATGTGACAATGTGTACAGGAAGGGTATGCTATTCGAGAGGAAAATTCTCTTTGTTCTCTAGGGTAGCCGCAAGGGGATCAGATGGCTGATGCTGAACAAAAAGGATTCCTCCCCTGTCTTGGTTCTACTTGGGGAAACACTGCCATGCTTGCCTTGATGGAACGGGTTCCAGCAAGCAGCACATGAGCTATGCCTGGAGAAGAGGACCACTCCTACCAGCATCACCAGACACTGGTGTCACAATGATGGAGCCAACACAGGGCTTCACTGTGTGAGTCAGTGGTCTCTCAGTGGTCCCTGGGAGAAAATGGCAAGAGGATTTAGAAAATAAAGACAAGAGACAATAGCCAGGGTCTGGTGGAGTTACATCTTGCCTGATGAGCATGAGGACTGACTTCCAACAGTAAGGACATTTATTTTATACACTTGCAAAGTTGATATCATGGGGAGAGGGGCAATGTTGCCTAGCGATTAATGACTGTAATTGTCCAGGCAGGATACTTTTTTCAATACTGAGGTAGCTTGACTGCCTGAGGCACTCTGGCTCTGTCCTGCCCTCACACATATGACCAATATCCAGCTCCAGCGGCTCCTAACATTTCACTACTCCTAGTCAAGAAGGGCAATTGAGATACGCTGTTCAGCCAGGGGGGGTGAAGTCATTTGTTGACCCCATCATCTAGGTGCATCTTCCTCACAGAGGAGTCTTCACCAAGGCATAGTCCACCTCCAAGGTGGTGCCTGAATGAACTGAGCAAATCTCGCATCAGCTGGTGGTAGACCAGCCCACTCTTCAGCCCCAGGTCTCCTCTGATGGCTCCTAGGTCACTTGGGCATAGCTCGCTTATATATCCTGGCAAGTGTAAGGTGAATACTCTGTGGGGCCACTCAGTGCATTTTGCAAAGCTGACAATCTGATTTCCAGGAGATGAACTGATTGATTTCTATAGAGTCATCACAAGTGTGCAGACAGAAACTCCAAGTGGTATCCTCATCACTCCCTTGCTTGTGTACTGAAAATGGAACCAATGCTATCAGGAAGCATGGAGAAGATAGGGTGGGGTGGTCAGCACACTGCAGAGCACTTTCATAGAAGCGAGTAGACCGGTCTTTGACAACAATGTGGGCCTGAAAGGTGGAATACCAACAAAAAATGTAAGCAGCATAATGAATTGATAGTCCAACAATAAATGTAGAAAAAAGTGTTATAGACAGTTTGGGGACCGCATATTTGCAGTGAAAGTTCTATATTATAAGTGGGAGAGAGATAGAGGGAAATCAGGTTAGAATCTTCTTCTGGGGTTGTAGAGAAGGGAATGGGCCAGTGGTAGTGAACCTATGACAGGCTTGCCGTAGCAGGCTATTTGTATAATTGAAAGCTCTAAAAGGTTTGCCCTCACTGGAATAGGCCAAAGGATAATGACAAAAGAAGCTAACTATATGGGAAATGTTTTGCTATATAAAGTATATAATATACATTTTATCATATATAAAATATACTTGTTATATAAACTATTCCACATTCCATATTTATATAGTAAAAATGCTATATTAAAAATAGTTGGAAGCAAATACGCAAAAAAGTGAATGTCTGACTATGGAAAGTAGGCCTGTCTGTGGGACAGCTGGCAGTGTGCATAACAGAACACAGTGTTAAGTAGCCCTTCCAAATCAAACAAATGACAAATAAATTCTGAGTGTGAGCTGGCAACAAAAGACACAACAAGATGACACTATTGGCAATGGGCAGAGAGGATCAGGACCTTGTGGAAGATGGGAAGAGGAAGCCTCCAAGCAGGGCAGGAGCAAGGGAAAGACTCCACCATGAGGGAGCACTCCAGGCAGAGGGCACCTAGACCATACCAGCCCCAGGCAGGCACAGGACAGGTAGGCCATGTTTAGGGTAGGGTGGAGGAACTGCTGCCATCTGCAGACTACAGCAGCAGGTGGAAATATTTTCATTAATTTCCAGATCAGGTGAACTTCAGGGAGGCTTCCAGAAGGCACAGACATGGCTGTCAGACGAGAAACATGGGCATGGACTCCAGAGGCTCCACAGAGGCACTACCCTGCATCCACCCCTAAGGAAGTGAGTGAATAAAAAGTCCCTCTGACAGTGACAGCACTGTAGAGAAGGAGTGACAGTGACAGCGCTGTGCCAGGAGGTGGAGGTAAGCACAGCCTCCTCAGAGTAGGACACAGGTGGGTACTTGTAAAGATGAGAATAGTGATCATCTATGTAAGGTCCCAGCTATCTCCAGATCCTCTCAGTCACTTACTCACCATCCTAGAACTGACTGGGCACCTAGGCTCAGTTAACACCATTCCATGAAGTGGGGTTGGATGTGAGTACCAAGATGACTCAGCTCTGCACTCATAACCCAGTCTGTGGACAGTCATGCACCAATCAAGGACTGAATAAACAGGGGAGATGGAGGGAGGAAGGAGAGAGGAAAAAAGGGGAAGAGAGGATAATAGGGGGCCATAACAGCGGTCAGAATTAGTTTATCTTTAACAATAAATACTGCTCCATTTAAAATAAATCTGGGTTTCGCCAGAAGATGCAGTCAACATTCCAACATCCTTTGATATGAACTGGCTAATTCTTTTCAAAAATTTTTAAATATTGTTCTTGAGACTGTCTTACTAAGCCACTAATTTTTTTTTTTTTTTTTGGTCTTTTTGAGACAGGGTCTCACTATGCAGTTCAGGCTGGCCTAAAGCTCACTTTGTAGCCCAAGCTGGTCTCGAACTCGCAAGGATCCTCCTGCCTCAGCCTCCCGAGTGCTGGGATAACAGGCGTACACCACCATGCCCGGCACTAAGCCACTAATTTGCCCAGGCGGGGCTTGAACTTGCAATCCTCTGGCCTCAGACTCATTACAGGTGTGGTCACCATGCCCATCTTGAAAATCTGCTGATTCTAAAAATCTCAAGATGTTCAAACTCTCTAAAATCTCAGGATTAGTTCTAGAAAAGTATCATATCATATCTCTGATACTACTGACCAGTTCAGGCCCCACCTTCACCACCCTATATCTGGCTCATCATAAGACATCACCCTCAGTTTTTAGGCCCTTTCCAGCCCATTGGCCCCTCCAGGAGCCCATTTCACCTTGTGGGGCTGAGTTTGGTCCTGTCCCTCTGCAGTTTAGGTTGCTGGCCTCCCTTCTTCCTGCCACAGCCCATGGGACCTACATGCAGTACCAAGACAGAACCAGGTCCTGCACTTGGAATTTCCTGTCTATCATCTTTTGCTCTTGCCTAAATTCACTGGTCTTAAGACAAGACATTCTAGTCATCATCTGCTGTTTTGTGTCAGCCATTGGGAGAGAGAGCAGTGCTGGTGGGCAGGATTGACTCAGCCTTGCTTCACAGAGTGGATTCTGACAGCAAAGTTAGGCATGGATCACACAAGCAGACCTAAGACAAATTATGGTAAATGGTATAGAAGAAATAAAGTAGTATAAATAAAATAGTAGTATAAATAAAATAGTATAAATAAAGTAGTATATGAGTCCAAGGAAGGGAGCTGAAGTCTATCATAAGGGTTGAGGGCTATTTTCTAGAACATTAGTCACTGGAACTGAGTCTGGACTGAGCAGAAGTGAAGTATGCAATCTCCCCAGGTGACAACGGTCACGCATACCTAAAGGAGTGGAAAGGAAGTGAGGCACCTGGAGAACAGAAGACTAAAGAGAGAGGGAGGGATGAGAGCAGGCTGTGCTAGGTCTTGTGCACTGGAACAAAGACTGTGTTTGCTTTTCATCACTGTGACAAAATGCCTGAGGTAATCAACTTACTAAGGCAAAAGGTTTATTTTGCATCATGGGTTCAGAGGCTTCAGTACATGGTCACTTGGCCTGTTGTTTTGGGCCTGAGGTGGCACAGTGTACCATGACTGGAATGTGTGGTGGAGGTCTGCTCACCTCCTGGTGGCTGGGGAACAGAGAGAAAGGGGCTGGTACACTCCACATGACCTAACTTCACACAACTCAACCCCAATTCTTAGAAGTTTCACCACCTCTCAATAGTGCCACAAGCTAAGGGCCAAACTTTAACACATGGGGCTTTAGGGGACATTTCAGATCCAAGGCATAGCAGTCTTGAACAATGAGAAATCAAGGAGAGTGCTTAGTATAGAAGCAGCATGTTGATGATGTGACAGTGAAGATGGTGGTGATGTTGATGATGGGATGGTGATGACAATGATGATGGTGGTGGTGATGTGGCACTGGTGAGACAAGGATGAGGGTGATAAGGAGTGATGAAGACATGGTAATCATAATGGTAACAATGATGTGTTTACTGAGATGCTGATGAGAATAATCTTGATGAAGAGGAGGCTGTTAGCAAAACAAAGAGGCAGAAAGAGGAAGTCCACCCAGGGAACTGATGTGAGTATGAAAATAACACAGGATTTGGAGTTTGACATTGCTGTGTTTTACCACTTAACTTGCTAGGTGGCCTTAGGAAATTAATTGATCCACGTTCGCTTCAGTTTCCTCATGTTCAGTAGGGTTTCTGAGAATGAAATAGTATGCATAAAAATACCTGGAATCAAGGAGTGGCCATGTCAATTCCCTGTACTTCATTCTTGCCACATATGCACACATGCAATTGTGCAATGGTGAGTGTGACGTGGGTGGAGATTTCTGCCCCTGCCCCATGCCTGCACCTGGTCAGATGATGTGGCCAGTTGCTGAGAGACACTGTATTGCTGCCAGAAGCCCCAGAGCTGTTTTCATCATCCTTGCTGACTTGATAGTCCTGGCTGTTTGCTGCTTGAAGGAAAAGCTGAGGGACTGGGGCTTCTGCTGGGGGAATCTACCACCTTGCAACCACCTGCTGCCCACTCTTTGAGCCCTGAACCTTATTTTGATGCCACAGTGAGTAACTCTTGTCTGGATGCTGATCGGGGAGGGACAGCAATAGGGACTCTATATATGGGACAGCTGGCTTCTTACTGACCCTAAACCCCCTTGAAATGCCACCTTAGTCAAGACACTTGACCTCCCTGAGCCTCAGTTTCCCACCTTCATTCCCTCATCCTCTCTTTGTAGAGAAGTGTGGGCTTTGTGAGATAATATGCCTTGTGCCTTCATATACTCGGTGCTCTACTCAGTGCTTCGCAATGAGGTCGTAGTAGCCACTGATACCTTGGGGTGTAGGGAGGCTGGAGAGCTTGTCCTTCTGCAATTTAAACATGTTTATAACATCCCCCTCACAGTTTCAGTTTATCTTCAGCTTCTTAGAGTACCCCAGTATCTTCAGACTATCAAGGTGCTGTGAAAAACCAAGATCAGATTTCTGAAGGGGCATTTTGAGCTGTCTGCCTCCTGTGTCAGTCCACACACAGCCAAGTTAGAACTCACATGCTACCAGGGCTGTCTCGACTTGGGGTTAGAATGGGGATGGAGAAAACATCACAAGTTGAAGGTGACCAGCCAGGGAGAAACAGTGCCCCTGCTGCCCCACGGCTCTGTCACAGCAAGGCAAATCCAACCTGCCCATGTAGGGCTGGCCCTGGCCACCCAACATCTTCATTTTGGAGGGAGGCCAGCCTGGGTCAGGTGAAAAAGAGCAGGTGGAACCAGAGTGGTGTGTTCCCTCCAAGAAGACTGCTTTATGTACTTTTCAGTCATAAACTTTTTCTCAGCAGAAGGCAGGCTCTTTATTGCACTTAGTAGATCATTCATCCCAGGGTTTCACCTTTCCACTTTCCATGGAGCTTGTGCTTGTCACTCCTGTTGCAGGCTATCAGAAGGACTTAGCTCTTGGCCACATTTCTACTCACGGGTTATCATTAACAAATTTCCTTTTCTCAGGGAGTCTATATTTAAAAACTAGGACTTGTGTGGCTGTTCTGCAGAGCTAGACAGTGGAGGTCACCTGGACCCCACCCAACAGGCCTGTGGTGAGAAAGCCTCTGTTCTTTTTTGGGCCTGGGGCCAGTTAGACTTGCAACAGAGTTTACAAAAGCACTGGAAGACACTCAAGAAGCATGGGTGGAGCAGCGGAGGCAGAAAGGCAGGATTTGTCTGCTGGCACAGTGGTTTCTCTTGAAAGGGAGATGTACATCCTCAGAACCACCCTCCAGGTCTTTACTGTAATCCACCACCACAGTGAGGCACTGTAGCTCTAGCCAGTGTAGAAGTAGACATCAGAGGGTGTGGAGAGGGGACTCCCTGGGGAGCAGGGCCCTTTCTACAACTCTGAAAGGAGGGCAGAGCTCATTCAAGAAAGGGCTCATGAATGAGAAGAAGGCGTCTCAGAAAAACTCTCTGCTAATTCTTCCAGTGTGTGAATTCAGGATGGCTCAGCCTTTTTGTACCTTACCTATCCTACCGTGTCCCAGAGATCTGAGGGCAGAGCCAGCCTAGGCAACACATTTAGGAAAGCAGCTGCCTTGTGGTGAGCACCAGTTGCTGTGGGTAATCTCTTGTACCCTCTAAGACAGAGGTATAGCTATTACAGGCCCTTGGAGGAGACACAGAAGTCCAGAAGAGCTAAGTAATTGGTCAAGATCACATACAAGAGGTAGAGCCAGCTTTCCTTTGAAGTCCAGAGAAGATGATGCCACCACACTGAGAAAAATAAGATGGGCAGGAAGTAGTCAAAGGCCCACAGCTGATGGACCAGACAGGTTCTGGGTTTCACCTCCTGGTCAGATCCAGGCAGTGTTTATTCATGTTTCAAGGTTCGGGATTTGAAATTCCTGTTTCCCTTTGACTTTATACATTTTCTGCTTGTTCTCAGGAAGATTCCTCTGAAATTGCTGCCTGTGGAGTGGCCAGCCTGCCGGAGCTAAAGGTAGATGTCAGAGCAAGGTTCTCTGGGCACAGCCAGTTTTGAAGTAATGACAAGGGGGTGTGTTGGCAGTGGGACCTCCCCAGGCCTTAGAAGGATTGAAGGTGGGGAGAGCCAATTTTTACTAGGCATATAGCTCAGGCTATGCAGGGCCACTACGTTTGTTATGTGTATGTTAAAGTTGATCTAAAAAAAGTAGAGAATAGAATAGTGATTATCAAAGCCTGAAAAGTAGGGAGGATGAGAGAGGGTGGTTAATAGGTAGAGGGGAGCAGTTGGTAGGAGAAATAGCTTTCAGTGTTCTGTAGCACGTTAAGGTAACTATGGCTGACAGCATTTAACTGAATATTTCAAATTAGCTAACAGAAAAGATTTTGAATGTTCCCAACACAAACAAATGGTAAATATTTGAGGTAAATATATGCCAAGTATTCTGCTCTGATTATTACACATTGCATATATGTACTCAAATACCACATTTTACCCCATAAATATATACAACTACTATATATCAATTTAAAAAAAGAACAGATTCATAAAAACACCCCTGGACTTTTGCAATGTTTCCATGTTGTGAGTTCTGACAGTATCCACGTTTCACAGATCAAGAAGCTAGCACAGAAAGATGAGCAAGACTTCCAAGGCCACACAGCCCATACACTGCAGGCTGGGGACTCAGTTGAACAAGAGTCCCCATGGTGCCAGCCACCTGGGCCCTAGGCCCCACCAGAGAGCATCACCCAACAATCAACTTGTCCCACGTGCCCGGGAATCTGCTTCCCGCCCACCTCTTCTCCCCTCTGCTCCTCCCCACCAGCTCCTGTGTTCCCCAGCCAGGCCTCTTGTTCTTTAGTGGCAAAGATGCTCCCAACACACACGAAATCCACACAAGTCAGCTGAAGGTTTGTGGCTGCAGAGAGTTTCCACATGGAGCCTTGTGTGGGAGACATGCAGTTGTGTGTATGTGTGTGCACACATACACACACATGCATACACATACACACACACACACACAGTAGGAGCAGCCAGGGAGGGGCCTGTGAGGGAAGAATGTGAATGTACCCCAAGCCCTTCCAGAAAGGCGTCATTTTCTGAGCCCTGAGCAGGGCAGCATCCAGGGAGGCCCACAGCTCAGGAAGCACAGCTCACTGGTGGCTGCTGCTTCCTTCTGGCCAGCAGCCCCGAAACCAGACCAATGGCATGAGCCTTCATTGCATACTGCTTGTAAGCCAGTCTCAGTGCTTAGTGTCCCCCACCCTCGCCTGATGGGCTAATCTGGCTCGTGCACGCACACCCACAGTTGCAGAGAGGTGTGTGAACACAGGAGCCACGTCAGAACTAAATTTTACACTGTTTTTATCTTTGTTAAGGCAGTCCTTCCTAAGGTCCAGCCCGACATCTCTACAGAAAAAGGGCACCACCAGGATCCCTGAAGGACAGGTCAGCATGCCAGACAGATACGAAACAGACCATCTGCAGCTGGCCACACCTGTTGGAAACATGGAGAGCAAGCTGGCACCTTGCTCCCAGAGCCCTACAGCCTGGCCAATTCCATTCCAGCTTCTCAGTAAGACACTTTGCCCACCACAGGAAGCCAGCAATGCCTCCCAGGACCACAGGGACATGAGGGTGCCCACCTCAGAGCTACGCTGGCTCTTGCTTCCCTCAAGCCTGCTGGCTGCAGCCACACTGGCCCTGAGTCCCCTGCTACTGGTGACCATCCTGCGGAGTCAGCAGCTAAGGCATCAGCCCCACTACCTGCTGCTGGCCAATATCTTGCTCTCGGATCTTGCCTACATTGTCTTCCACACATTCATCTCCTCCAGCAACCTGGGTGGCTGGGAGTTGGGCCGCATCATCTGTGGCATTCTCAGGGATGGTGTCTTTGCTGCCTATATCAGCACCATCCTGTCCTTCACAGCCACTGTGCTGCATGCCTACCTGGCAGTCACGCATCCTCTGCATTACCTCTCCTTTTTGTCTGGCAGGGTTGCCCGGAAGACAGTGGCCCTTATCTGGTTGGTAGCCTGCTTATTTCCCACATTCCTCCTTTGGTTTGCCAAGCAGCAGGATGCCAAACTGGAGGTACAAGGGGCCTCATGCACCCTGCCACTGAGCCTGGACACCAGCCAGAGTCATGGCTCCCTGGCCACAATCACCCACACCTGCACCTTGTGTGTTCTCTTTCTATGTGCAGCTGTCATCACCTACTGCTTCTGGAGGATTTATGTAGAGGCCAGGCCTTCAGGCATCTGTGTACAGGGGTACTCCCGAGCCAGAGGCACCCTGCTCATCCACATGGTGCTGATCACATTATATGTTGGTGCAGGGGTGGTGTTCTCCCTGGACGTCATGCTGACCAAGTACCACCACATCAGTACCAGCACTCACATGTGGCTCCTGGCAGCCAACAGCGAGGTATTCATGATGCTTCCCCGTGCCATGCTCCCGTACCTGTATATGCTCCGCTACCGCCAGTTGCTAGGGGTGGTCCGGGGCCACTTCTCATCCAGGAGGCAAGGAGACATCTATACCATTTCCCAAAGCTACCAAGCCTACAATTTGACAGGCTGATGTTAAAAATTAACATCTTCAGAACTTGAGGACGAGCTCAAGTGATAATTTTTAATGTTTTAGTAGTTGTTAAGCAGAGAAAGCACTCTTCTAGTGAAAAGAAAATCCAGCTTGACAATGAAAGCAAGTAAAGGTCAACCAACCAGGCTGTATTCTAAGAGGGGTGAGGCCATGACTGGCAACACTCTATGGCTTCCTGAACATCCTGCTTGGCCACCACAAGAGCTTCACTGCTATCAAACATAGAGGTCAGAGCATTCTGAGAGCTGCAACCTGGAAGGGTGTCAGCAGATCTGCTGACTCCTGAGACTCTGGACCTCTGGTCAGATAGCTGCTCAGGGTAAGGGGGTGCCAAGAGAACCTGTTCCAGACTTGCTTCAGCAGGAAGTGTCACAGAGATGCCACCATAGAATTGGAATCCCAAAACATTATGCTCTTAGAACAAGTAAAGATAGAAGACATTGGCCCTTATGGAGGGCAGCAGTGAGGGAGTTTGACTGTGTGAGTGGTTCTGTGCAGAGAAAGAAAGTTCTTTGAGGATTCTTCAACAAAAGCCGTCCTCCAGGCAGGGTCAGGAAAGGTACCAAACTATTTTGCAATTGGAAAACTGTTCTCTGTGATTGGTGTCTCCCCGAGGACCTGAGCTTCAACTCAGGTCTCAGAGAATTTCCACCATAAAAGAACCTCCAAAAAATGAGTAGCACATAATCAGAATTCACAAACCATTCAGAAAAATGAGTCACTGTGAATAACAGCAAGAAAAAACACTAAGTGTACAGCATTGTACCATAGCTCCTTGAATTTTCAGACACTAAGTTAGTATAATCATGCTTAAGCCAGATGTGGTGGCCCAGCTGTCATCCCAGAACTCTGGCTGGCTGAAATAGGAGGACTCTAAGTTCAAACCCAGTCTGGGCAACTCAGTGAGACTCTGTCTCAAAATAAAAAATTAAAAGGGCTGGGATGTAACTCAGTGCAAAGGTCCTAGCTCGCTCGCCACCCCTACCAAAACTCATGTGTTGTAGGACATGAAAAATTACGCTAAAGTATGACCATAATGCAAAACAGCAACATGTATTTTAAATAAACAAGCATATTTGAGGAATACATAGAACTGATTTTAAATAACTAACCAGATTTGGAAAAGAATTAAATAGAACTTCTAGGAACAAAATATATAATAATTAGAATTACAAAAGATGAACTGTACTTAAATTAAATAACATATTAGAAACAACTGGAGGGAGAATTTACAAAGTGGGAAACAGGTCCAGATAAATTATTGCAAATGTAGCCCAGAGATGAGCAGTATAAAGGAGGGATTAAAAGACAATGTAGTTAAAATGGAAAAGACTAACACACTTTTAATTTGAGAAGTCAATAGAGGAAATATAAAAGGACAAGTATTTGGAAGAGATAACAGTTGATAATTGTTCAGAATTATCCAAACACATCAGACCCAAGAAATCCAAGTAGTCACAAGTAAGATAACAAAGAATCCACCAGAGATACTAAGCACAAACAGAAAATATTTACAGCAGGCAGAGACAAAGACAAGGCAACAGCACTTACCGGGAAGCTGACTTCCCCCAGATCAGTGACAACCTAAAGCAAAAGTAATAATGTTGTCAGTAAGCTGAGAGAAAAATGACAGCCAGGTAGAATTTTATGTATAGGAATTGATCTTTCAGAGGGTAAAATAAAGACTACACTGTAACACAAAAGCTGAAGGACAATATCCTAACAATACACATTCAGGAAACTTAAAAAAAAAATATTTCTGGTTAAAGAAAAATAATGCCAGATGGAAAGTTTGAAATGCATAAAGAAATAGAAAAATCACTGGGCAGTGATTAAGCCTGAATAACCATGACCTAGTTGATAAACACTATATAAAAACAATAAAAATGTGGAATTTGGCAGCTTAGAGGAGAAAATGTACTGTGCAAGGACAGCACATATATGGGAAAAGTCTGAGTGTAATCACAGCATTCGAAGGGCTAGAAGCCCTGGGGGAGGGCCAGGTTGACCTAAAATGTTGTTAAATATGCCTGTTGAAACAACTGAGGCAGCCAGAGGCACAATAGGCAAAAGAAGGTAAATTTCTGAATAGTCTAAGGAAAAAGTGAAATGAGTAAGAGAAAATACAATATCCAAAAGAAAGAAAGTAAGAAAAAAATACAAAGAAGCCAAGACAAATAAAAGCAAAAAAGACAGAATCCAAACAAAAAATTTGAATGAACTGAAACAATACATTTAAAAGGACTAAAATTTGATAATGAAAAGACAAACATTTGTCAGTTTTCTTTTGAATCAGATATCATTTAATTATGAAGCTACTCTAAAATGACAAAACATTTGGAAGTACAGCTATTGACGAAGTAGAGAAAAAAGTATAGAAAACAAATCTCACTAAATAAAGGCTAATGGAAAAGACAAACTAAACTTTAAAGCAAAATATTGCTGGAGTAAAGAGGTTGCTATACAGTAATGTAAGAGCCAATTTACCAAAAGATAGAAAATTAACACATACAATACAAAGGCTGACATTTTATAATGCAAAACTTGACATTATTGTGAGGAAAATTAACAAAATAGAGAACTTTAAGACTCTGATGATGAACAGAAAATAAGGACATAGAATTTCAATCAACACAGCTGACAATCTTTACTAGTGGACACATTTACAATATGGCTCTTAACAGACTACCTGAAATTTTAAGAAAATGTACGTACACTACTCCACAAAGCAAGTCTAAGTAAATCTCAAAGAATTAATTCCCTACAGATCACATTACCTAAGTCCATTGCAATTAAGTTAAGAGTACATAACAAAATGCTAATTAAATAATATATGCTTGGAAATGTTAAAACCACTCTCTTAAGCAATGACTAGATTAATAGACTAATTAATAGTGGAAATAAGAAAATACTTAGAAATGAGTAATAAAAAGTTATATATCGAAATGCATGATTTATGGCCAGCAGAATTTATAGGAATGTTCATGCATGTTCTACTCGAAAAGAAAAAAATTCTCAAAATAAATGAGCTGGGATCCAAATTGAGAAATTAGAAAAATAACCTTGGGTGTCAGTCAGTTATGGCTGTGCTTGGAGAGGCTGTGCAGGTGATCAAGGCCCCACAGAGGGACCGTGAAAGCATGGCTGTGGAGGCCCATCTGAGTGGCCTGGTACACTTACAAGGGTCTCTGCCAGGGAAGGAAGGGAGTGGGAGGCAGCCAGGAGGTGAGGATGGCCAGTGAGAGACACGGAGACAGGGAAAGCTGCTGCTATGCTGGTTGTGAAGACCGAGAGGGGCTGCAGGCCAAGAAAAGCTGGCAGCCTATCCATGCTGGAAAAGGAAGGAAAGAGATTCTCCCCTTGAGCCTCAGAAGGGACACATTTGCCAACTCTTTTGACTTTAACTCAGTAAGATGCACTCATCTTCAGAATCGTAAGATCAAGTACTGGTGTTGTTTTAACCCATCACAGTTTTTGGTTCAGTTGCTTTTCTGCTCCCCCGTGTCACAGCTACCAGCAGACTAACTTGGCCTTGTTCATATGCAGTAGCAAGCTCTCAAGAAAGCAGAAATGTCCAGTGTTTCAGAACTGGCACGTACACTGTCACATCTGCTGCTTTCCAGACCAAGCACAGTGCAAGGGAGAAAACAATAGAGTCTGGATCTTGCTACAGGGAGATCCAAGTCACATTGCAGGACTGAGAATGTGGCTTAGAGGCAGAGCACTTGCTTGGCAAGTGCAAGGGCTGGGGTTTGATCCCTAGCATGACAAAAAAAGCAAAACAAAACAGATGGCCACATGGTAAGATAGGAAGATATAGGGAAGGGATGTATTACCACTATTCTCACAACCTATAGCCACTTTGGAAAACAATAAGACTGAAGATGATTTTATTTCTGTCATTACAATCTGAGATACACACCCTAGAGAAATGTCTGTTCATGTACTTTATGTTCATAGAAGCATAATCAGTTAATAACACAAGTAACCATCAGCAAAAAAACTAGGTAAATGCATTATAAAATATTGTATAACGCTAAAATACTAAACAGCATTGAAAAATGAATAAAAAGTTGTACATAGCAATGTGGATGAATCTCACAAGCATATTGTTGTGAAAAGACAAGTCACAGAAGAATATATGTTTTCTGGTTTCATTAACATAAAATGGAAAGAAAGCGGCACATTAAGCAAACCCATGATCACAAGTTTGAGCCCAGCCTAAGCAACTTCATGAGATCCTGTCTCAAAATAAAACATTTTGAGGAGATGGGGTAAAGGCTTTGGGTTCAGTCTCCAGTACTGGAAATAATCAATATTTGAAGCAACAATTTATTTATTTATTTACTTATTTATTTATTTTTGCTCTTATAAAAAAATACACCTACAGTGTAGCTCAGCATGCCCAAGGCACTGGGTTCAGTCCCCAGGAGAGAGACAGAAAGAGAGAGAGAGAGATAAACTGAATACTCTAGAAGAGTGATGAATGAATATTAGCCCTATCAGATACATAGAAAATGTCATGATACTAGCACAGGAACAGTCAAATGCACAAAATGAAACAGAAAATTCAGAAATGTTTCAAAGTATATGCATGCTGGTAACTAAGCTGCTGTCCTTCAACAAAACTTCTGGCACAGCCTTCTCTTTGTGCTGCTAGGCAGGAGCTCTGCAGGCTCCCCTTCACTGCTGGCGTCCTGTCTAGCTCTGCTGAAAAAAGGCAGTGAAGAGGGCAGAGGTAGCTGACACTGACCCTTCCTCCATTTAAGCTATAGTCTGCACAGCCTCCTCAGCAGCACTTTGCCTCACAGAAGTGGCTGGGTCCAGTCCCACTATGGGAGAAAGAGCAGCTTCCATTTCTTGCTGACCTCTCTCATCACCTGCTCTGGGCCCAGCGTGACATGTGGATCCACTCCTCAGACCCAGAGCTGCGTTGGATCTCACCAGCTGGTGGTTCAGTCCCAAGACTTTAGAGGCCA